TGACTGCAAACAACACATCTTCACCTTCTCTCTTAGTCACAAAATCTCCTCACCTGCATTAGCAAATGTCTCATGTCAGATTAACTGTCAGAGAACCAGGGAACGCAACTGCCAGCTATTACGCCAGGATTACATGGATTAGGGTGGATGGCAGAACTCACTTTGCAATCCAGGGATCAAGCTTTCAGCTTAATGCTGCTCCATAAATATTCCAAAATATTCCATTTGACAAATGAACCCTTGCTTACACAGGCAGATAATGTTAACCACTGCAGCACTCGAGGCAAGAGCAGCCAGGTACAAGGCTGAAAAACTGATGAGCCCATGGGCTAGTTCAAGCATGGGCAAACTTCGTCCTTCTAGGTGTTTTGGATTTCAACTCCCAGAAATCCCAGCCAGCTTACTGACTGTTAGGAATTGTGGGAGTTGAAGTCCAAAATACCTGGAGGACTGAAGTTTGCTAAAGCCTGAGTAAGTTGCATGCCAGGATGACAGTATTTTGTCCTAATAAGACACAAACAGAAGTGCAGAACATGATGAAATTGAGAATATATGACACTGCCCTCCAAATGTATTTGGTTTCAATTTCTTTCAGACTCAGACATCATCATCATCATTATCATTATTATTATATTTATTTATACCCTGCTTTATCTCCCCAAAGGGGATTCAAAGTGGCTTAACATAAATGCATTGATCCTCAATTTAACACAGTTAACCAACAGTTAAGACTGATAGGGATTGAAGTCCACCTATAGTAGAGATATAGGTTCTCTACCCCTGGATTAGAATAAACAAAATGAAGAGTCTGCTCTAACAAAGCTCTGCAGCAGATATAGAATCCAGGATAGAGCCTGGAATCCATTCCAGAGCTCAATCAGAGAAGCCTAATGTGAAACATGTCATTCCATGTGTGTGTGTGTGTGTGTGTGTGTGTGTGTGTGTGTGTGTGTGTGTGTGTGTATATATATATATATATATATATATATATATATTTAATGTACCAAACATATCAAGTTTGTATGAAAATGTGACTCTATTTTCTGTGCTGGTCAATGACCGAAATAAATGATTTGATTTGATTTGACATTCTATGTGTAGGCAAGTTATTATTATCTATCTATACCAGGGGTCCTCAAACTAAGGCCCAGGGGCCGAATGCAGCCCTCCAAGGTCATTTACCCGGCCCTCAGGGTCAACCTAAGTCTGAAACGACTTGAAAGCACACAACAATGACAACAATCCTATCTCATGAGCCAAAAGCAGGCGCACACTTCCCATTGAGCACGGCTGACGGGGACGAGAGATAGGGCCTTCTCGGTGGTGGCTCCTCGGCTGTGGAACGCCCTTCCCACGGACATTAGGCTGGCACCATCTCTAATGGTGTTCCACAAGAAACTGAAGACCCTGGTTATTTGTGCAGGCGTTCGAATAACTAGTGCAATGACTGGCAATGAACATAGGAATGGAACAATGGATGATGAATTTTGGATTCTGTTTTTTAGATGATGAGACGATAGTGATTGGTTAATGTAGTAATTCTATTGTTGGATAATTTGTTATTTGTTAATTGTTGTTCATTATTGCATTGAATTATTGCTGTTTTTACTGGTTGTGAACCGCTGTGAGTCGCCCTCGGGCTGAGAACAGCGGTATATAAGTAAAGTAAAATAAATAAAAATAAATAAAATAAATAAAATACTAATAAGTTTATATTTGTTAAATTGTTCTTCATTTTAATTATTGTATTGTTTTTAAGTGATTTTTGATAAGATATGTGGTATGCATAGGAATTCATTCATGTTTTTTTTCAAATTATAATCCGGCCCTCCAACAGTTTGAGGAACTGTGACCTGGCCCTCTGTTTAAAAGTTTGTGGACCCCTGATCTATACATATAAAAGTGAACTTATCTATTTTCCAAGATGGCTCCCACTTCCAGGGAGTACTGTGAACTCCACTGATGATAGACCTGGATCCAACTTGGCACACATATCCACCGCGACCAACAGAAAATACTGGAGGAGGGGAGGGATTGACTCTAGATGATGGGGATTACACTTCACCCCACATCCAGGGAGCACTTCTAAAGAGCACTGTAAATTCCATCAATGATGGGTGTGGATCAAAATTTGCAAGCATACCCAACATGGCCAACTTTAAATACTGGTGGGGTATGAGGGCAATGATGTCAAGAGAGCCCTGTTAACCCCACAGATGATGGATCAGGTCCAAAATTGGCATCTATAGCCATCATGACCAACTTAAAATAGTGGTGGAGTTTGTGGAAGATTGACCTAGTCCAATAGGAGTTCCAGCCCACCCACATCCAGAGAGTCCTGTGAATCCCGCTGACAATGAATCTGAACCATATACTTCTCATATAACTGTACAACTTGTAAATAATACCATCCTCTAAAGAATACTATTCAATCCAAATCAGTCCAACTAAGCATTGGAATTGGGAGAATATCACTGTTCGCACAGTTCTCTTGCTGTATGTCTTGTTTACAGGATGATCTATTGATCTTTGCATACATTTCTAGACTAAACTACAACCACCTGACCATATAACCATGACAACAGACAACCTTTCCAATTTGCTTTCTAAAGGACACAGGGCTTTTGTTAGAGGCTCTTTTTTATTTGGCAGCCTGTACAGGTTAATGGATGTGCAGGATTTATCTAATGTCCGTGCCTCTTTGGTCTTTCATTTTTATTATTATTGGAAAATATCCAGTTGGCAGAAAAGAGAACTGCTGGATTCAAATTGCTGTAACCCCAACTTTGGTGGGTTTTGTTGTTGTTGTTTTTTTACAATTACAACTTGAAAATTTCCCAGCTAGTGAAGCCTGAGAGTTGTAGTTCAAGTTCTGATTATTCAGGAACTGAGGAGAAATATACTCTCCATCTCCTCTGAGGCATTTTCCTCTATCCTTATAGATGAAAAACATCGAGAAACAGATCACACAGTTGAACCCACAGCACAAATTAACTTTACTATGTTTAATGCTCAGTAATTATGTGTTGATGTTAGACTGCTGTAAAGTACATTATATTTCACAGCTTTTGCACTGAAGTGGATGGTGCAATTACTTGAAAAGATATGTCTAGTGGTTTAAAAATTTGGAGACCTGGTTCTAATAGGGAAGTTTAGTGACACCTGGCACACCCAAAAAACGTTTAAGAAGCTCCATTAGTAACCCATTCACAAATGAACCTCTCCTTATTCAGGGCATTAGAAAATGAAGTCTGGTAGATTTACTGTATTGCTCGTGAAACCTGGCACAGAAGGTTAGAATCCCATTCTTGCAGAAACATTGCCAATTACAATACAGTGAAAGTGGAAAGAAATTACAGCAGGGATGGAAAACTTTCCTGCAATGCAGATTCTACATCAGGTGCTGTTATTTCCCATCTGTGATCAAAACAAGAAGCTATTTAAAGCAGAAGTCACTGCGTGAAACTAAGCTCTGCTTTGCAGCAAGATAAGCTGTTCACTTTAGTTTACTCCTCAGAAGGCATAAAGAAAATTGAATTTTGCCCTGTATGCTTAGTGAGAAAATGTTCAAATCTGTAAGTAGTATGATATCTGGCCCCTATAGGCCTCTGCCCCAAACCCTTAGGCAAAGTACTTGGTTCTGCTTCAGCCTTTCTCACTTGCTACCTCATTTTCTCATTTGAGAACTGCTCTTCCCCCTTGTTTTTAAATCTCAACTGAAAATATTTCTGTCTTCCAAAACTTTTGGAATTTTACTATTATTCTGAGTTGTTATGTTGTATATTTTGACTTGAAGGTATGCAAGATAATATTTTAAAGACATGTGGTGAGTGTGCTTTGTATTATAGCAGTTTGTTTGGGGGCTTTTTGTATTTTATTTGGATTGGATTATAGTTTTGTGTTTTGTTATTCCTTCCTCCTCCATGTCTTTTTGTATATACATATATTTTAGTTTAAATACTTCCAGCAGGATCCCATGTACATTCAATTGTACTGTGTATTTTGTAAAAACCACAACGATAATGACAACAACAACAGAAATGCACCTCCAAATTCCTTTATCAGACTGAAATTAAGTCAATGGATGAAAAAAGGTTCCCCTGTCAAGGATCAAATGATACCTAAGCATCACTTAAAAGAAGTGTGGGCACACTGTGGTCTTGGACCATATATACCAACTACTCCCACCCCATCACTTTTGATGCATTTTTTAAACCTGGAAACCGCCCAAACTGCCTGCAGATGCAATAGTTTGCTTCCCCTTTGCATGGATTTCACCTCCTTATTTTAGTCAGATTGTAAAATCTCCTTATTGTGAATATTTTGCATGAAAGTTGATAGTAGAAAGGTATGTGCTGAACACAAAGAACAGAGGACTTTTATCCAACCCAGCTAACAGTGGTAGTCAAAATTTCATTTAAAGTAATGAGAGATGAACTGTTACATTGGTTTAAATTCATGTTATGGCTAATTTCAGTTGGACTGAAACACAAGGGGTCAGGATAGTAGCACTGCAGTGGGACAAAAACATTAAAAAGAAGGCCCATACACCTGCGTTTCCCAACTTTGTGCTCTCTAATTGTGTTGAATAACCACCCCATTCTTGCCAGTCTAGTAATGATGGGCAATGTAGTGCAATGCAATAAAAGAACATCAGATTGGGAAAGGTTGCGATATAGAGTCAATGTGGTATTATGGTTTGAGTGTTGGGCTATGACTCTAGAGTCCTGGGTTCAAATCCCCACTTGGGCATGGAAATCCTTAAGCAAGTTGCACTCTCTTAGCCTCAGAAGGAGGCAAAAGCAAACCCTTCTGTACCATCCTGCCAAGAAAAGCCTGTGCCAGATTCATCTTTGGGCCACCATAAGCCAAAAACAATTTGAAGGCACAGAACAAACAGAAAGCCATATAGCAATTCTTAATTATATAGTTGCAGTCATTATTTGGCTTACATTGATTTTGAAGCATCTGGAAGATCAAAGGTAGGGATGAACACTCACCTTGAAGCATCCAAGTACTGCTGCATATATGGTGTTTTACAGAGGGTCACACTTTGTTTCCAGCCTGCGTTACAAAGAATAACATCATGTCACAGTCATTTCAGACAAGCTACAACAAGCTTACATGTGCCAATAGCTAGAAAATCGTAACTGAAATGTAGGCTTTATTTCCTGTTTGACAAGTAATAGAAGGAAGGCAAACTAAGACAGAGGTGGACAAAGTGCAACCTCATAGATATTATTAGAGAGCAATTCCCAGTATTTGTCAGTTTGCTATACTGGATAGGACTGCTGGAAGTTGTAGTCCTATAACACCTAGTAGACTGCGCATTGCTTACCCCTGGGATAAAAGAGTCATGTTGTGCCAATGGGTAGTTGTTCTCATTTGGATCCAATTTTAATGGTATTAAGAAATATAGGCCAATTCATATTGGATCTCTTTATTGTTATATCTAAAGTTCAAGTTCTGAAGCAAGCATCTCCAGACTTTTGTTGTGCTTGCAATACCTTCAATCTGAGCCACTCAGCAATATTTTGGTGGTAAAATAAAGGATCCCACAACAGTATAGTCAGACACAAGTAATGTCGGTGGTAAAGACAAGAAGCAGTGTTCTTTAATCCTATGAACACTGATTGAGGAAGTTCATTGTCTGTAAATATCTGAGTATGAAATAATAATCATAATATTAAAAAATCAATTAGCAAGAGAGGAAGAAAGGGTGAGTGGGAAATAATATGCTTTTAGAAATGTAAACAACTGCCTTCTATAGAGCCCCAACATTGGTTTGTATGTCTCAGAACTGTCAGAATGGATTGGAATGAGCTCTCCAAAGTTTCAGACAGGAGTCTTCCCAGACTTACATGAAGACACCAGAACCTGGGACCTTCTACAATACAAAACGTATGTTCTATTAATGAATTATGAGCAATTCAGATCACCAGGAGCTGTAATTTCTCATTTTATCCTAAAGGACAAGTCTCTCTCCTGTGACCACTAAATGTTGATGTTATGATGCAACCATTCCTGAAACTACTAGGCCATGTTCCCTGAGTTATGACCACTTTTGAATGTACAGCAGCTAAAGTAACTCAGAAGCTCTGCAACCATTAAAAGGACTGGGGAAGAGCGAATAGATAGGACAGAAAATGGGCAGGGGAAGATTTACTTGAAGATTACACATTAGTAAAATACAGTGATGTGTGAATATCCCTTATCCACATATTTGGAACCAGAAATGATTTGAATTAAGGACCAACCATCCACCCACCCCTGATTTAAGTATACCTGTTCTTGCATATATGTGCATAATGAGATATTTCGGAGATGAGAGCCAACTCTAAACCGCTTCTTGTCTTTACCACCGACATTACTTGTGTCTGACTACACTGTTGTGGGATCCTTTATTTTGCCACCAAAATGTTGCTGAGTGGCTCAGATAGAAGGTATTGCAAGCATAAAACATATATGTTTTATATGCGCATAGCCTGAAAGTAATTTTACACACAATATTTAAAAAGAATTTTGTACGCGAAGCAAGTTTTCTTGGTATTGTACACCAGAAAACAAAAGGTTTTCTATCTGAGCTATTTAGGTGGATAATTTTAGATTTTGAAGCATTTCGGATTTTGGAATTCCAGATAAGGGATGCTTAACCTGCACAACTCCCTCTGTCCATGAGGTTAACATCCCCAGACTTTTTGCAGACACATGAAACCATAGATAATAGTGAACCCTATTGAAATGAAGGCCTGATGGCCCCAAAATATCAGAGTTATACCGGAGAACCTAGATAATGCCTAGGTTGTGTTATACTGAAACCATGGATATTGGTCCCACAGATACAAGAGTCACAGTGCCTGTAATAATTGAGAAGGCATGGCTTGGAATGAGAAAGACTTATCTTAAAAGGCAAAGAGTTCTTTTAGCAGAAGAGGCAGTCCTAAATAGGGCAAGTGGCAGTGAGCGGGGACAAGGCAATTTCTCTTGAGCATCCACCCAACCACTAGCACTCCTTTCTGTTCTGTCTGTTTGAGAACAAAGCTGCCTCCTAGCCCCAAATCACCTGCAGCCTTCAGGCAGGATGGAGCACTGCCTTGTGTCCAGTGCTCGAGTAAGATTTAACTGTTAAATCAGTTCCTAGACCTAGGAAGGATACCTTTCATCCCAATCTATGCATTCCTAGGCAGTGGGCACACCACTTATCTGAACTCTATCACTCTAGGGCAGAGGTGGGAATCTAGTGGCTCTTCAGAAGTTGTGGGACTGTTTTCCCCATCACTGGCTATACAAACCTGGCTAGGACTGGAGAAATTTGCAACCCACTTAATCTGGAGAACTCATTATTCTCACTCTGCCCTAATATAGCTCAGATATAAAAATCTAGTTAGCTTCAAGACTTGGGGGGGGGGGGGGTCCTCTGGCAGTATTGAATTATTAGGATTACTGTTGACCATAACTCGAACCTGAGTCAGCCATGTGATGCCTCGGCAAAGAAGATGAATGCTATATTAGCCTGCATTAACGAGAGCATAGTTTCCACATCAAGAGAAGTAATATTCCTATAATATTATGCTTTTCACAAGCCTCACGTAAAATACTGCATTCAGTTCTGGATGCCTCATTTTAAGAAGGATATAGATAAGCTGAAACTGATTTAGAGAAGTCCAACAAGGATAGGTTTAGGCAATCCCTCGTTTTCCGAGGAAGATTGTCTTCCAATATTTTTGTGGGTCCGTATGTGGCTGTGGAGCCCTATTCTTGCTCTGCATCTTCTTCTGCAGTGACGGCATTGGTTTCCAGGTGGAAGGCAGTCTCGGTCGGGGTTGGCTTGATGTACCTTCCTCTTGGCACGCTTCTCCCTTTCACGCTCCATTCGTGCCTCTTCAAATTCTGCAGCACTGCTGGTCACAGCTGATTTCTAGCTGGAGCGGTCAAGGGCCAGGGCTTCCCAGTTCTCAGTGTCTATGCCAGAGTTTTTAAGGTTGGCTTTGAGTCCATCTTTAAATCTCTTTTCCTGCCCACAAACATTCCGTTTTCCGTTCTTGAGTTCGGAGTAGAGCAACTGCTTTGGGAGACGGTGGTCGGGCATTCGGACTACGTGGCCGGTTCAGCGGAGTTGATGGCGGAGTACCATCGCTTCAATGCTGGTGGTCTTTGCTTTTTGCAGCATGCTGACGCTTGTCCGCCTGTCTTCCCATGAGATTTGCAGGATTTTCTGGAGTCAGCACTGATGGAATTGTTCCAGGAGTTGCATGTGACGTCTGTAGACAGTCTACGCCTCAGAGGCATATAGCAGGGTTGGGAGGACAATAGCTCTATAAACAAGCACCTTGGTATCCCTACAGATATCACGGTTCTCAAACACTCTCTGCTTCATTCAGAAAAATGCTGCGCTTGCAGAGCTCAGGTGGTGTTGTATTTCGGTGTATTTCAACAAGGATAACAGATATGGAGAACAAAACCTATGAGAAAGGTAGAAGAAGGTGGTGGCCTTGCTCAGCTTGGTAAAGAGATATCACCGAGCGGAGAGGACAGATGTGTTTTCTGCTGCTCCAGAGGTAGGACTAGGTCTTAGGGTTACAGCCTGTGTTAGACGGGGTTACACTCCCCCTGAAGACGCAGGTTCGCAGCTTGGGAGTGATCCTGGACTCATCGCTGAGCCTGGAACCCCAGGTCTCAGCGGTGGCCGGGAGAGCTTTCGCACAATTAAAACTTGTGCGCCAGCTGCGCCCGTACCTTGGGAAGTCTGATCTGGCCACGGTGGTCCACGCTCTTGTCACATCCCGGTTGGATTACTGCAACGCACTCTACGTGGGGTTGCCTTTGAAGACTGCTCGGAAACTTCAACTAGTCCAGCGAGAAGCAGCCAGATTGCTCACCGGAGCGGCGTACAGGGAGCACCCCACCCCCCTGTTGCGTCAGCTCCACTGGCTGCCGATCCAATTCCGAGCACAATTCAAAGTGCTGGTTTTGACCTACAAAACCCTATACGGTTCCGGCCCAGTGTATTTGTCCGAACGGATTTCCCTCTACATCCCACCTCGAAGCTTAAGATCTTCTGGGGAGGCCCTGCTCTCGACCCCGCCACTGTCACAAGTGAGGCTGGCGGGGACGAGGAGCAGAGTAAGATCTTCTGGGGAGGCCCTGCTCTCGACCCCGCCAGTGGCACAAGTGAGGCTGGCGGGGACGAGGAGCAGGGCCTTCTCAGTGGTGGCCCCCCACCTGTGGAACTCACTCCCCGGGGAGATCAGATCGACGACTTCCCTTCTAGCGTTTAGGAAAAAACTAAAGACCTGGATGTGGGACCAAGCTTTTGGCCATGCTGACAACTAACTAAAGGACCTGTCGATAGACAAGGACAATGGAATGGAATGGATATATGGACTCTGATATATGGACTCTGACATGAGATAGTTTTTATGATTTTATTAGGTATTGATGTTTTATTTTAATTGTTGAATTGTTATATTTTGTATTGTTTGTTGTGTGATTTGGGCATCTAATTGTGCCTTTCCTGTAAGCCGCCCTGAGTCCCCCCCGGGGTGAGAAGGGCGGGGTATAAGTAGATGAAATAAAATAATAATAATAATAATAATGGTTTTAAGTTACAGGAGAATAGATTCCGACTGGACATTAGAAGGCATTTTTGACAGTAAAAGCAGTTTACATGAGAGTTGGTGAGGTTTCCTTCTTTGAAAGGGCATACTTTCAGACTTCTTCAACCTGTGGTCCTCCAAGTGTTTGGGCCTTCAACTCCCAGAAGCCCTAGCCAGCTTGTTTAATGGTCAGGAATTCTTGGAGCTGAAATAACAACAACAACAACAACAACAACAACATCCTGCCACCATCTCCCAGAAGGGACTAAGGGCGGCTTACAGAGCAGCATGTGACAGTGCCACACAAAACACATAAAATACATCAGCAATTATATCAGTAACAACACCAATTGACCTAAAACAACATTTACAGAAATTAACAAAAACCCAACTCAATTTAAATAAGATGCTCAATAAAAGCACAGCAGTAGCTACTAGTTTAAAATGGCCTATAAAATCAAGTTGAACATCCCAATCATGAATCAAGTTAAAATGTCAACATTAAAATACCAGAGTAGAACAGCAATCTGTTTCGGTCCTCTAATTAGCTGGTACCTTAACCATTGTCAAAGGCCTGCTTGAAAAGCCATGTTTTCAACTCCCTTCGAAAGCATAGAAGTGTGGAGGCTTGCCTAGGGACCACCACCAACAAGGCTCTCTCCCTCACCCCCACCAACCATGCTTGAGACAGAGTCCAAGCATGCCGCAGGTTGAAGAGGCCTGCCTTACCGAAAGATCCTGCAATGAGTAGGAGGCTGGACTTAATAGCCCAGGACTCCCTTCCCACTTTACAATTCCTATGATTTTGCACCCCACCCCCAATAGTTATATTCCCATTAAGAACAGTGCTGGTCCTTGAGCATTGCCAATTGGTCCCTGCCAGGAAAGAAGAACACAGCTGCAGCTAATGGACAAAAACAATGGTACTAGTATCTGGTACAATACAAACACAAAATGATTGCTGGTTTCTCACATCAGACAGCTTGAACAGTAATGCTCTAGAAAGGCACCAGAGAGACATTTATCTCTCCCCCTCCTAGCACATATTGCAGTTGTATTCTAAAAGACACTCCTTTCCTTTCTTATTGATAATGCAAGTGGTTTGTCCATGGGCAAAAAGTTAACACCTAAATAGAAAGGCAATATCAAAGGGAAAGACAAATCTACCTTCCCTTACTATCACCAGAGGACTCACAGACATCCTTAACAAGCCTCTGTGTGCCCTGTGTGCCTCCATTGCAATATAAGCCCATCCTCCAATACACGTGCTGGTGCGCGCGCACACACACACTCGCACACCAGCTGTCAGAGCCATGGACATTTTGCTAGCATGAAACAAAAACAGCCACATGGCTTTGTCTGGTCACTTGCCTGCCCACTACCCAGCCCCTAAAAACAACAGGAAGGGGAAATCATATTATTATCATGCTCATCGAAGTTCTCTTACTGGTGCAAAACAAAAACCTTGTTTATTCAAAATATTTTTATATTATCCTTCCAAGCAAGCTCATCCAGATTTAAGCCCATTGTCGATCTCTCTGGGAGGGGTTGGAGGCTGTGATATGGGAGATAATTCTTCTTGTTGTTGTTAGTACTAACAGCATTTATATATGGTTCTTCTCTCCTAAAGGAGACTTAAAGCAGCTAACACTAAAAACCACACAATATGTAAATCAAAACCCAAAGCATACAAACATTAAAATAGAATTAAATATGATTTATTTAAAAATACATAGTTAAAACCATTTAAAAGCACATTGAACAATATAAAACTCTAGAGCTGAAACAAAAGGGAAGTGTTGATGTGGAGGGAAGTGAATACAAGAAGGGAGGTGAATACAAGAAAGAAGCCCATCTCCACACACAGGTGGAACTTCTCTTAATGGGCATTTGGCAAAAGCAAAGGATGCTAGCTGGGGAGTGTTGCCAAGCAAAAACCCCATCTCCAATGAACATGGCAGAATGATGCTGGCTAAGCACCATCCATTGCTGCACTATGGTAAGAATTTGGAGCAAAAATGGAGAGGCTGAAGATGATGGGCAGCAAGACGAATTGGAAAGAGACCCTATCAGGATATGTATCCTATACATAGCCCAAACCATGGCAAAGCAATCCTATACATGAAACAGGAGTGATTTGAAAGGTGCAGAGAATATGGCACTGCAGTTTCAGGCCACACACTTGCTGGGTTAAGGGCTGCACCTGTATAAAAGGCTGGATGTTTGTTTTTTGAAGGGAGGGAGGTGGCAAGGGCGGAGAGTTCTTAAATTAAATAAGAGCAGGCAGGAGGAAAAGCCTAGGGATTTTCCAAGCTGATAAGGCCGCCAGGGAGATCAGCAGAGAAAGAAAGAAACAGAAATAGAAATACAGCCAAAGCACAAAGCGCACCACCATTAAAGAGAGATATATGCTTCCAAAGGAGGAAGGAATGGGGATGGGGGGGGGGGGTAGCAGGAAATAGAGAAGACGGTGGAGAGTGGGATGGGGGAGATCCATTGGATTCCTCAAAGGCAGCCGCTTGGAGAAAGGGGAGAGGAAGCCCCACCTTTGGCGAACAGAGATGGGAAGGGAGGCTCTCCAAGCAGTGATGCCAAAAGGAGAGAAAAGACAAGATCTCCTCCCAAGAGATTATGTTCTGGGAGGAGGAAGCGGGGGGAGAAGCGACTGCAGAGATGGGGGGGCAGAGGAAGAGGAGAAGCACCCCAGAGCTGACACAGACACACACACACACACAAGCGAGCGCAAAGATACCCACCTAACAGCCGACTGCTAAGGCGCACGGGGAAGGAGAAGGCGGCAGCGATGGTTGGGGAGGGTCCCTGGCACTGGTTGCCCCCTTAGCACGAGGAGGAGGAAGAATAGGTTGGTAGGTAGGCAGTCAGGCAGCAGCAGGATGGGGCCACGGAGGAGGAGGAGGATTTCTCCGAGGAAGAGGTGGAGTTTGTGCCTGCTGCCCAGCGTGCCCGAAAGCGTCTCCCTGCTTTTTACGCACCAGCTGGAGAGAGGAAGAAGGGAGATGAACACACCCCGCAAAGGGGCCGGGGGAGGGTGGGCTGGAAGGGTCAGGGGTGGGCCATCGCGACCGGAGAGAGCGAGGAAAGGGGGGGGGCAACAGACCTCCCTCCCTCCTTCCCACACATCCAGCTGCAAAGAGGGGAGCTCCCGAGAATCATAGAATGACAGAGTTGGAGGAGATCCCAGGGACCATCCAGTCCCAACCGCATCCTGCCCTGTTTGAAAGCCTCCAAAATAGGAGCCTCCACCACACTTCGGGGCAGAGAGTTCCACTGCTGAACAGCTCTCACAGTCAGGAAGTTCTTCCTGTGTTCAGATGAAATCTCCTTTCTTTATAGTAGTTTGAAGCCATTGTTCCTCCTTCTAGTCTCCAGGGCAGCAGAAAACAAGCTTGCTCCCTCCCCCCTTTGACTTCCCCTCACACCTTGATCCATGGCTATTCTCTTCTGCAGACTAAATATGCCCATCTCTTTAAGCCGCTCCTCATAGGGCTTGTTCTCCTGACCCTTGATCATTTGAGTCACCCTCCTCTGGACACATTCCAGCTTGTCAACATCTCTTTTCAATTGCGTTGCCCAGAATTGGACACAGTGTGATTCCAGATGTGGTCTGATCAAGGCAGAACAGAGGGGTAGCATGACTTCCCTGGATCTAGGCACCAAACTCCTATTTATGCAGGCCAAAATCCCACTGGCTTTTTTTTTTTTTTTTGCCACTGCTCAAGTTTAACTTATTGTCCATGAGGATGCTAAGATCTTTTTCACATATACTGCTGTTGAGCCAGACGTCCCCCATTCTGTATCTTTGCATTTCCTTTTTTTTCCAGCCTAAGTGAAGTATCTTGCATTTGTCCCTGTTGAACTTCATTTTGTTAGTTTTGGCCAATCATCTCTCTAATCTGTTAAGATCGTTTTGTATTCTGCTCCTGTCTTCTTGAGTATTGGCTATCCCTCCCAATTTGGTGTTGTTTGCAAACTTGATGATCATGCCTTCTAACCCTTCATCTAAGCCATTAATAAATATGTTGTACAGGACCAGGACCAGGATGGAACCCTGTGGTACTTCACTCGTCACTTCTTTCCATAATCATGGAATGACAGAGTTGGCAGAGATCCCATGGACCATCTAGTCCCAACTGCATCCAAACCACTCCCGACAGATGACCATCTGCTCAGAAACCTTCAGAGAATGAGACTCCACCACATTCTGAGGAAGAAATTTATTCCATCCACTGCCAGGAATAAGGGAAGCTGATGAAGAAACGCAACTAACAAACTTATCTACAGACTCACTAAGAAAATCTAGCAAATGCTACGTTCAGCAAAGGACAAGAAGAATCCTCTCACCTCTGCAGGAGTCAACCATATACCATGCAACTGTGGACAAGTCTACTGAGGGACCACCAAATGCAGCATTGCCCAAACATGAATCAAGGAACGTGAAAGGCACTGCAGAGAAGTCAGCCATAGCAGAACACCTGATGAACCAACCTGGACACAGCATATTGTCTGAGAACACAGAAATACTGGACCACAATAACAACTACCATGTCAGATGACACAAAGAAGCCACTGCAATACACAAGCATATGGACAATTTCAACAGAAAAGAGGAAACCATGAAAATGAACAGAATGTGGCTACCAGTATTTTTTTTTTAAAAAAACACTCTAAAATTAGGATAGTAAATAGAGAACAACACTCTGAAAACAGGAGAATTACAGACAGGAAACAATCAGGCCAGGGCCAGCTAACACCTCCCAACAAAGGATTCCCCCCAGGCAGGAAACAGCCAGGCTTTGAAGCTGCAAGGCCATTAAATGCTAATCAAGGTGGCCAGTTGCAACATTCACACTTGCCTCAAACAGACAAGAGTTCTTTCTCCCACCACAGATATATAAACCTCACTTGCTTAGTTTCCAACAGACCCCTCAACCTCTGAGGATGCCTGCCATAGATGTAGGTGAAACGTCAAGAGAGAATGCTTCTGGAACATGACCATACAGCTCAGAAAAGTGACAGCAACCCAGTTCTTTCAAATGTTTAGGTGGAATCTCTTTGCCTGTTATTTGAATCCATTCTTTCCTCCTTTCCTAGTCTCTAGAGCAGCAGGAAGCAAGCTTGCACCCTCCTCAATGTGTGGAAGTGCTTTTTTGGATGGAAGGGCCTGTGTGAGCCAAATCACCCCCCAAAGCCAGTGGAATGGGTTACAATTTCCATCATCCTGCCTCCAGTCATCAAGGCAAAGGGTCGTGTGGTCTGCTACACCCTGGAAAGCACCAGATTGAGAAAGCCTGGCCTAGATCTATGTGCACATCCCACATCTCCTCACAGAAATCAATGTGACACCCACATGTGACCTCTGGATGGCTTGAACTACAACTCCCATCATTCCCTACTAGTCCCCTGGCAGTAGAAAGGGAATAATGTTAACTAAATCCCACCACTAGCTGTACTGGGGATTGTAGTCCAATCCTGTGGGAGGAAACGAAATTGTGCGTCTGTGTTGATGGACTGCAATTCCCATCGTTCCTGTATGGTTCCCCTAGTGGGAGAAAAGGAATGGAAATAAAATAAATGACTAAATCCCACCATTAACTATATTGGGGGTTGTAGTTCCAGTGCAGTTGGGGAGCAAAAGGTTGTATGTGTATAAAGAAAAAAATGCTGATTTAAACTTGTATGTGCTTGCAAAACTCTGATTAGTGATGTGTGACTTCGGTTTTCTATTTATGCTGGATAAGCCCCTTTCACTTCTGTGCATAGAGAAAGGTGGACGTCTTCTACATGATGCAGTAAATGAACATGAAATCAAGTCAGGCAAGACTGCACGGTTTGGAAAAATTTACCTGTTGGGCTCAGTGTGTGTATGTCTTATCAAGTATACTGTTGACCTATAGTAACACCATGAATTTCATAGGATTTTCTTAGGAACCTCAAACTAATAATGTTGGGAGATTCTGTGAGTTGTAAACCTCTCAGCTCTAAAGTCTTGTCAAAGCTACAGCTCCCAGAATTCCAAATCTTAAGAAGTAAGGACAACAGAGTCAAGACAGTAATGATATCCTGGGCCAAGGACCTAGGCAGACCAATAGAATTGGACAAATGGGAATACCTTTGGAACTAAGAATTCAAATTTACTTTATCGGGTTCAATCAGGGAGAATCAATACAAAATGTTTTATAGGTGTTATATCACCCCAGCAACATTGGCTAAAATAGACAAATCACAACAAGGTATTTGCTGGAGGTGCAGGAAACAGAAAGGGACATTCCTCCACATGTGGTGGACCTGTGTGATCATACAGGAATTTTGGGATAAGGTAATTAAGGAGACAAATAAAATGTTACATAACAAGATTAAAAAAAGCCCAGGACTGTGTCTGCTAGGTCTACAGAGAGAAAACAATAATCAAAAGGACCAAGAAATATATCAATATAGCTTTGCAGCGGCAAGATTGACCATAGCCAAAGATTGGAAAGGGGAAAAAGGTCTAACCAAAAAGGATTGGAGGGAAAGAATGCGAGAATATATGCTAATGGCCAGACTAACTTATAACAGGAGGAATAAGAGTAATGAGGACTTTCTAGAAAAATGGAAGTTGGCCATGGCATATCTGAATAGAGAGTCAGTAATATAGAGGAGCTCCATTAGGAATTTAGGTTTACCATGAATAAGGATAGATAAATAGGCTTAAAGGCTTCATAGTGTTTTGGTGTGGGAAGTCATGGTGAAGGGTGCACGGGTGTGGGGATGAGGGTTTATTTTGTTTAGGATAGGGGTTTTGGGATGAGTGTAAGGTCTGTGGTATGTGTGTAAAATGCCATGTGATGATTTACTGAATGTTATGGAAAAAAATTAATACAAAGCTCTGACGGAAAGCAGTGGAAAACAGGCAGAAATAGCAAGTCTATGTGTATTAAGATATGTAAATGATAATAATTTGTACTTAATGACAAAATTAACTGATTGACTGAATGAGGTAGATAGGCATGTACACGTAAAAAATATTGGTACCTGATTATATCTGCCATGATTTGCTTTGCTTTTCTGTTATGTACTATAATCAAAATAAACAGTTTTAACAAAAAAAAAAGAGAAAAAAAATTGGACTAACAATAGGATTTAGGCACATGTGAAACTGTTCAAATCTTTTGCAATTATTAATTGAATAAATATGTTACACAATAGCCAAAAAGTACAACCACATGGACAGGGAAACTTATATATGTATGTGATGGCCAAATAAATCCAAATGCTATATATATACAAATGGCAACAGTTTAGAACAGTAAATAAAACCTTAAGTTAAAAAAAAGTAACTTTTCCAACCTCTAAAAATTAAGCTGCTCTTAACTAGAGCTTGGAAATTTTGCTGTTTTGGACTACAACTCAAGATGCTTCCCAGTTGGCCTAGACCTGAGTCTTGCAGTCCAAAAGATGAAAACACCAAAATTAAAGCAACCATAAGCCTTACCAGAATTGTTTGTCATTTGTTGTAAGGATAAGAAGTACTTACAAGAAGTGCTCTTTAACTCAGGCTTCTGCAGTGGTTTATTTGTTAGTGTGCATCACTTGTTGACAGCAAAATCAATGTTTTGCATGTTTATTCATTTATTTCTAAATATTTAGATACCACTTCTATCCATAATTTTCAAAGCAGTGTGCAACAACGAATGTAAAACATGCACCACAAACAAATACAGAACGTGGCATACATATTCTTCTCCAGGGCCAAGAAATAGATTTGGGAGTTGTAATAAACTGGGAAAGGTTGCTCAGGTTTTTGAACATGTCAAGAGTTTTATCCAAAGAGTGTATGAACTACAATGTGTATGAACTATCACACACCAGAGACACTTTATACTATTTCATTCATATCACTTCAGACAGAAGAATTTTCTGATGGAATCTGTTTAGTCATTCTCCGGCCAAGCAAGAGAATGGAAAGTAATGAAGTAATGTACCTACATGTGTGATCTGGGCCCAAACTGGCT